CCTATCCACCTATCCAACAACCACCATTTCCCAAGGTGAGCATCCATTCGCCTGCACTGCTCCTCTTCTCTTGCCCTACATCATCCCATCATCCCTTCCCTTTCTGATTCATGACATCCCACTAAGGCTCTTGTAATACATAGGTGGTTTTCCTTTAGTTGGGAAGACCAGGTTTTTCTTCAAGTCAATGGAAACTCCACAGTTTTCTCCTCTGTCTCACGGTCCTTTCTGCTGTGTCAGTGTGTCTCATGACTGTAGTTCTTCTGCTCAGCTTTGAAATGGAGAGCATATCAGTCCAAAGTGAGTATCATATAGGCGATCCCTTGTTCTGGGTAAAACTCCATACTGGGGCTGAGTGGAAGCAGTATTGCTAATTCCAGTTGGCTTTGGCCTTGGCCTTTACAAAGGAATTTATGGCTTCGGAAAATTAAGAGAAAATTAAGATATTTCATCCCAGGTTTGCATATTTGGTACTGTCACATGATATGTTTGTGTTCACATGGAGCACAGAGACGGTGGGACCCTGAAGCTGAGATCAGGATAGCCAAACCATCAATCCATGCTTTGCAGAGTCCCGGCTGTAACACCCCATGACTGTTTACCTCTGAACCCTCTCTCCACAGACGGGGGAAGCACTGTACACAGACCCCAGCCCCTGCCGCCATCCACGATGCACCAGGGAGGGCTTGCTGCAGCCGCCGCTGCTGACACTGGCTCTGCCTACGGAGCCCGACACAGCTTCTCCAGCTACTCGGACAGTTTCATGAATGCTGCAGCTCCTGCCAACCACATGAATCCTGTTAGCAATGGCCTCTCTCCACAGGTATGTGACCCGCTTCATTCTCTTTTTTTGGCTGAGAGTATTTGGCTGGTCCAGATCCTCTGAGAGCAGGGCAAGCTTCAGGCTATCACAGTGTATTATGATTAACAAGGGAGTTACTGTTATTGTCACGAATTCTTGGAGGCAGCCTAGTTAAAGCAATTAGTTAATTTGTTTATCGGCAGTATCTCTATCCTGAGCTCAGCACTGTACTGCCAAAGCATTTGTATCCTGTTAGTTCCCATATTCAGGTTAGCACACTGTAATCGCAAACACCAGGACCTAGAGCATCGGTGTTTGTCTTCTCAGCCCTCCAAAAAAATTCCAGTGCAGGTTTGGGCCCTTCGATTGTGGATTTTAGCCTAATGACAGCATGCTTGACTTTTTTAGTTACTTTTTGCAGGCTCACTTCAGAAGCAGTCCATGATTTGTGGGCGACTGATCTAGAGATTAGCTGAAGCCAGCTTGTCCAACTCTGGTTGGAACGTGGAAGGCCCTTACTTATGAAAGTGCCATGGATCTGAGCTTCCTCAAAACACAGGGATGTAGATCTGGGATTTAGTTTTGAGAAACTAATTGTCATGTAAACAGTTCTGCTAATGCTTTCCACAAGGTCAGAATAAGAGGTGTAGGTAAGCTTTAAAGGAAGAAAGATACATTTCACACGCATCTGTTTGTGTAAAAGAATGGAGCATGTGTGTCTTAAGTTTACCAGGCAACAGCTATGTCCTCCCCATGTAATACACCCTTGATTTTAAAATCCCTGCCTGAGAATAGAGCGCCCGTGACCTGACTCTGGGATCTGTGCTCCAAGCCTCATCCCAGCTGCCTTCTAAAGGGCCCCATCCCAGGTTTGATCAGATTGCTGCCAGTTGTGTGCGTGGCTTTTCAGTGCTGCGTGTGACAGAGAAGCAAGCCTCAGCAGCGTAGAGAGGTTAAAGCCTGCATCATCAGCAGGTCTAGAGAGAGCAGAGCTTGTGCTATGTGTGTGTTATGGGAGCAGACTTATGTTCTCAGCTGGTGAACTCCACTGGATTCAGTGGAGATGCCAGGATGTACGCCACCTGAGAATACAGCCCACTTTCTCTATCACTATCCTGGGATAAGAATTCTAATTTTCTGTCACCTCATTAGATAGAGCCTTTAACTTTCTCTTTGGTTTACTTGATGTAATCTGTTTTCCAAATGCACATTTGCCTTTAAGTGGAACAAGGCACATATTGTATGCTGAAAATTAACAGCAAGGACTTGTATTCATGTGGTGCCTGCCATCCTGGAGGGGTACCCAATACGTTTTACTTTTGCTCTCAGTCACTTGTGAAATACAGAGACATATGAAGTGCATTATAGCAGTTGTTTCAGAGTGGCCAGTAACACTATTTAAGACAGGAAGTGCAAAATAATTTGAATCTACAAGGAGAAATTAGGTAGGCATCTGAAATGAAAAGGCTACAACTGTTTAGAGAGAAGTCCAATAAACGAGGCCATCAGAGAGGTATATAGATTTTAAGGTCCAATAGCTTGTGATCTCTCGAGTGTGAAAACAAATGTTGAGTATCAATGGAAAGAGGGAAATTTTGCAGCTTCTCTGAAATGGTATAAAAATCCCACTCCTAGCTTTGAATGGTCATGAGATGGAAAATGTAAAAGTGTGACTGGCATGAGGCTGAATATTGCCTCAAACAGTGTAATTTGTGGGGGAAATAGGGAGACCTCTTTCTGACAAGGGATTTCTAATAGCACTGGGCTTGGGAGATGAGCATATAGTATGGAATTCAAAGGCAGACTGCAGGTTAGATGGTCCAGGGCACGTGATTAATTCGGATTATCACAAGTGCAATTTAGCACCATAGAATAAGTTAAGGATGAGATCCACGTGATAAGCTGCACAAGCACTAGAAATATAAAAGTCCATCATGCAATTTCCATTTCTGTAGCTTCATCATCTACTTACTAGTCCCGCTCACTAAATCAGAGGCTCACTGAAATGACCAGACCAACGCTTTTTCTGTGCTTATCCCTATCCCAAATTACCCTGCCCCCAGGCTCAGGCTAGGGGAAGATAGAGTCCTGAGCCAATAAGCCCTTTGTATGGGAAAGAGAGGATACATTATCTGCAGTCCTGAAGAAAAGAGAGCTTTGTACCCCCAAGAAGGGGAGATTCCCCTTTACCTAATGCTTTTAATCATGCGAGGGCCAAGCTATCAGCATATAAATTCTTCTATTTCTTTTGTGCATAGAAAGGCTAACCCAGGTTATTTTATGACTGCTTTATATTTACTTATCTTGCTACCTTCCTGCCTTTCTAAGCCCTCTGCTGTTCCTAGTGGAAGGATGCAAGAAATACTCCTAGCAGCATGAATGGGAACTCATAGAAGTGTCCTCTTTTACGTAGCGAGGTGGGTAAAAGTTTTGTGAGGTCTCAATATAGGATGCTCTGCGTAACTTATTGGTGCATAGTTCAGTTATTCCACAGCGTTACAGGTAAAACCCATTGCACCTCAACCCCCTCATCCTCCTGTCCAGCTTTCTGTGGTGTCTGGTTGCTCTCTGCAGGGGTAAATATCAACTACAGGGAAGGAGGGAGTTCAGGAGATAGAAAAAAAAATTGGGAACTTAAAATGAAGGCAGTTTGTCTGAACTGCAAACAGACAGTTCTCTGGTTTCATCCCTTAGCAGCAGCAGGAGGGAGATTTCTTTGCAGTTTAGACAAGGAGGTGGGGGCCAGCCTGGCCGAGAGCTCCCAGCATTTGCTGCCGCTCGGCACGCTATCCAGTTACCCCGGGATTGGGTGTCCCGGCCAGAATCCACCAGACGGGCTCGGTGCTGGCAGCTGAAATTCTAGAGGAGAAGCATGGCATTTCCATTCTCACAACAGAGAAAAGGGGATTACGTTTGGCCTGTGCAGGCTCGGTCCCCCCACGCACACACACACTTTAGTCCTCCCCCTCCTGACAGAAAGAGCAGACACTGCTGAAAGTTTTACCCAGACTTCACGTGGGAAATGGCCATGTTTCTTGCTTGTTTTCCAGCCTGTAGCACACAAAGCCTTGTGCCTGTCCAGCTCTGCTGCTGGATCCCCAAAGCATTTCCCATGCAGTTTCCCCAGTTTAGAGGCTGTTCTGCCCCTATTCCAGGCCTGAGACTGCCGAGGAGTGAGACGTCAGCTGGGAATTTTTGTCTTCAGCTACTTCATCCCATGATGATGTTTTTTGTGACACTTCGTACAAGAACACTGACTTGGTTGTGCAAAGTATAGTCCCACTTGATTAAACCGCTACCTAGCATGATCTCTCATGTCATACTCCTTCCTAGACCTTAGTGAGAGACCTCACGGTAACCCGAGTAGTGATTTGTGACGGTTTCATGCTGGGACAGCCTTTGTAGGAGGGAGATCTTGCTCTGAGTGTTGCCTGTTTGAGAAAGTGAACTTCACAGGCTGGCCAGCTGCAGCCAGATGAGTCACCTTGCATCTGTCAGGATGCACTCGGTGGCTGCAGCAGTCACGGATTATCAGAAAGTAGCTCAGTACCAGTGAGCAGGAACACGCAGCAGCGAGGTCCCCATCGCTCCCCAAAGGGCACGTGGGTTAGCAGCAGCTGTCACAGATTCAGCTGGGCTGACTCAGTGGCTCGTAACTGCCTCCAGGCTGGCATTAATGCCTGTGCCAAAACTTAGCAAAGATATAGAGACCCAAAGCAAAGTTAAATATGAAGAGTGAGTAACCAGTTAGCAGTCACACAGAGTGTGATTTCTGGCCCTGGAGCATCTGTCTCATCATTTCTCACAAGAGCGGGTTGTAAACCAAGTGTGTGCGTGGGTGGGTGGGATTTCATAAATACATTGTAAGTATTTCCAACTCATTTTCATCTCACAGAGGAATCATTTCCCGTTTATTTGAGAGTACCTATCAACCTCAGCTAGAACAAGGCCAGGAACCAAGACATCCTTAGCCAGGTCGTGCTTCACACTGGCAGCAAGAACAAACCTTGCATCCATCTGTTTTGAAGTTCAGACCTGTGCTAGCTGAGTATTGTCCCCCCACTGTGGCTGGGGTAAGGCTTGTGCCAAATAGCTCAATACAATGGTAACCTCAGTATTAAGTCCAGTTATGTCCCGATTGGCATCTGACAGTCTTTCAAGAAATGTGTATGCTGCAGTGCGGGCTGAGGTGGGAGGAAGTTAAATGAATTAAGCAGTACATTACAAGTCAACTTAAAGAGAAAAGTGAGGGCCACATTTGACTGTGCCTCTGCCGTTTGTGATGATGGGAGATTCCCTGGGTGCTTTTCAAACAGCAAAGAAGTAGGGTCATATTGTATTCTGGGCTGCTTTCATCTCTAGCACCTCTCTTCTGCCTTTTAAAACGTCTTCATGTTTTTTTAGGAGGATTTAGTCCACTGCTTCGCCTCCTAAAATTTCTGCTGCCCTTTTAGATCCAGGCCTGTATCTTAAATGTGTCTGACCATTCATTGTAGCATGTTTGGGTCTTGCAAGGGATTATTCAAAAGCAAAAGATCGTTAGTTTGTTGCAGGTGGCCCCTGTCTAGCTGGAGAACATATTAAGGTATAGTTAAGAGTCAGGCATTTCCTATACTTTCATAACATGTTATGTCTGAGACCTTTGAATCTTTTAACAAACCCACAGGATCACCCAGAGATTAAGACAATTCCAGAAATACGAAGAGCCAAGAGAAACTTGTTCACCATCTCATATTTGTTGCTTTAATTTTCTCAGGGCTTTCAGTGGCTTTTTTGCTCCATGAGCAAATTCATTCCCAGTGTAATGGCAGTATCTGAATGTTGGAGTCAGATTTTACAATTTCTGTTTTATCATCGTTTCGTGATAGTGTTCCTGGAGGGACACTTGAGGCACAGGTCAGGCTCTGCCCACAAATTTACACTCTAAACTCAGGGACCTTCTTAGTCTGCACAACCGTAGCACAGTTTTGTTTTTCCTGACATCATCCCAGGGCTCCGTTCTCTTCCACCATCCGGGGCAA